CACATCTTAAACACCAAATATGTAGGATTCTTAACGATTTTTCTTTGTTTGTTTTTTTGCGTGATTCTTTTTTCTACATTAATTATAATAAAAAAATACTTTCTAACATTTTCTAAGTTGTAATTGAGTTCTGAAAACTTTAATAAACACCTATAATTAAAACTCTATGATACTATAGTATTATAAAATTTATATAATATCATGCCGGAATGACTGAAGTACTTTAAGAAAATAACTCTGGCCGAGCGAATACCGGGGGGGACTTAGTACTTTCGCGTAGTACTCCTTTCTGCGTTAAAAATAAAAAAAAATATGTTGACATTTTATTATAAAGTGGTTAAAGTGGTTATATTTGTTGGTTACCATGCACTCATACTGAAATAAAATTTGAATTTTCGTACTGTACTAATATAATTTACACTTTATTACGTAATATTATTATATAATATTACTTATACATAACCTGTCTCTTATACACATCTAGATGTGTATAAGAGACAGATTTAATTATTAAAAAAGAAGATATATATATATATATATTTTTTTTTATTTACACTCAGTTGATAAATCCATAATTGGCTTTCATAAATCAACCTTGGTCACACTCAACCTTTCCGCTATTTTCGTTGCTCTTGATCACTATGGCTAAATCCTTGCCCTACATTCCACTTAAAGCTGSCACATTTCTTTTTAGTTGCCTGACCAACGTTGGCTGGCCGGCTACTATATTTTGAGCTACTTATGCGAAATTAATGCTGTGCTTTATAAAGTCATAAGGCTAATTGGTACGAATAAATTACGAACGATATCGGCTGGTRAAGAGGGGGCAGCGCAAACCAATGCTTAGACAGCAACCACAGCTATAGAAAACCCCACAGTAACCCTAGGAGTAAAAGTGTGTGTTCGTAGCAAAACCTCTAAAACTGTTGTTGCATGCGAATTGAGTTTGATACATCGCCCTCGTCGGGTTCCGCTTTTGGTAGGATGAAAAGACATGAACTCAATGTTTATGAATTTTCTGTGCAATTTATTTGAAATATGATGGTATCATAAGTTGCAATTCCTCGTTGTTAWAATATTTGTTCTATTGTACATTTTGTATTAGTTTTAAGCCCTAATTGAAAACGAGTTGGCATCAGTGTTTCGAATTTAAAAAAAATAAAATAAAATTTATAAATTAATTTTTTAATCCGAAAATCGGAAATAAAAATTAGAAATTTAATTTTTAATCATAATACTTTTTTTTTGTATTTAAAAATTGGAGTAGCAAGTAAATTATATTCCAAATGAAAAGAGATAAAAAGAAATTATTTTCATATTTTTAACTGAAATATTGGTCTACAACTTTGCTTCCGCCGTTTTCCAATAGATGTCTCTAGGGCCAAGCACTGGATCTTGGACATTTGTATCAACGTTAATCCAACAAAATATTTGTAGAGATCTGTTTGCTTGCCAAACTTATTCTCAACTGAAAATGTCACTTTTTGAGCCGAATTCTTTTT